GATTTCTTCCATTTTCACAAAGAAATGTTTCTACTCTGACGCACAACCACAATAAAGAAACCAGAAGGTAGCTTGCAAAAAATCCAAAATTAATTATCTAATGAATTTTACAGCCACATCAGTGAAGAGCATTTAAGCGTGAATGGCTCTGACACTTCTGATTGTGCATTTAATTAAATTAATGTACAGCAGAGGCCACCAGTTATTAAGACCTGAGGGAACGGTCGAGTCGTAATTCCAGAGATACAATCTCAACCCCTTTAATGCTCTTTGCACTAAATAAGCTGAAAATAAGTCAGTGCTGTTGGCAGAGCCATTTAAAAAATTAATCACGTTGCATTAAATGTGTTATAGTTGGACTCCATAATTTTAACTACTCTTAATAATCAACTTTGAGGTTCAGATCATGTTATAATGTAATTTTCTGATCAAAAGTGACATTTTTTTGTTTTTCCAATAGTCTTTACAGAGTTTCGGAAAGACTAGGAGCTTCTTAAGGAGACAGAACCCCAATTTCAAGGCGTTAAATTGCAAAGTCACATTTCTTTTAGGTTTTAAGTTGTGCTTAATACAAACAACATTTTAATAACAACTGATAGTACCATAGGAACTTGCTTGTGCTGTAAAATGTCACATTGTGTTTGGAAAATACATCATACCGCCCATTTAAGAAACTTAATTCAATAAAACAGTTGTATGGTAACGTGTAAAGTTAAAATGTCTGTTTTAGTTTACGTAAATTAGTTCTGCAAATGTAAAAGCAAGCTCTGCTCAATGGGAAGTCATTCCCATATTATTTTTAAGTCACAGTCGAGGCCATTAATTTATGAAATAGGGGGACAAATTCTCTAAAGCTTTGTCTACACATGATTAAATGGAACCACACAGAAAAAGTGTGTTGAGCCAAATGATTGATTAATCATATTAAAACCGAGAGAACAATACTTTTACCTCAGATTATGCTTCAGAATTAAATAATCAGGTATTGTGTGGTTTTGGTGAAGTGTACAAACAATGTAGTAGCTTTCTTTAAAACAATAACAACAGATAACCCTGTTTTGGAGAGGAAAAAGGCTGTTCAGAAACGCCAGGGGGCACAAAATATTGTTTTCTGCCCAAGAAAAACATGTCGACAGCAGGAAACCTCCAGACCATGACACTATTATAGGCCTTGCAATACTGAGGACAGGCTTAGTGCATCTTTTTCCTTTTTTTATCTTCTTCCCATCTGAAAACGTTCTGACTCACATTCCAGGTGCAAAAAACTGGCATATGGATTGTTAGAATAATTAAATACAATGAAATAAATAAAAAGAATTGCAGGTTATTATTCAGATTCAATTTGTTGTTATTGTTGTTATTGTTCCAGAAAAATGGCTACATATAAAGTATTTATTACTGTAAAGACTTCAGCATGAAATGAATGAAACATTTCCTACAAACAGAAATGAAACTTTTAGTTTCATTTCTGTTTCATTTTCTGTTTCATTTCATTTCCTACAAACAGAAATGAAACTCTTAGTTTCATTTCTGTTTGTTTCTTTACTCTTCCTTTTTTCATTTTCTGCGATCTCAGCTTGCTGTATTTTTGGATTTGTGGGATTTTGTGGATTTGTTCATTCAGATGAATGTCTCTTTCTGTTTACTGACTTAATAGATTTTGGTTTCTTTCCTCTCTCCTCATTTCTCTTGGTTTTGTTTATTTTGTTTCCCTCCTCACTCTCTACTGTTCTGCTCCCTGAGTCCAGCTGCTGATCATTTCCCCATTTGCCCCCTCCTGCTTCCTTCACCAGCTGCACCATACTTGTGTGCGGATACATATGCAGCATTTTGGATAAATTTTACAGAAAAGCTGTGGATTGAACGCATTCGAGTGACACAACTTTTTATGAAATGTGACGTAAAAGCTATGGTGGAGTCAGCTGCATGTCTTTAGAAAAAAAACAAACAAACATCATCCTCCTCCTACTTCCTGTCATTTTGTCATTTTCCCCAGTAGTAACATTCGGTTGTGATGCAAAATACATCTATTTTGATTTAAAAAAAACACCTCATTCCAGCACAAAAACTTTCTGTCAAAATACATTAGTTGTTTCAAAATGAGCCTGTTTCTGTTTAGCATAACTTCAGTTTGAGCAATTATTTGATTGAGAAAAACACAGCTAGTGTTTCACTTCCACTGTGCAGTTAAATATGGGTGGTGCACAAAATGAAGTGGAAATTCAGGGTTTAAGCTAAGTTGGGTGTATTTCTATAGATCGTTTCGGATGCAGCGGGGAACGTGTGCTCGCCGTCCTTATTGTTATTCCCAGCCATCTCTCTCAGACATGTTTCTACACTCCCTTTGACACTTCGAGCCTCTGTTCTCAGCACAGCCACACTTTGTGCATTTTTATTTGCCTTTACAAGCAAACGGAGACGTTTCTGCACTCAAGTGTGAGAGCACCAGTTTGCCAAGCGGAATAAGTTGACTGGACAAGTTTTACTTCATCTGCGTAAGCGTCTGAGGCAAACAGCTGCCCTCCAACGCAGATCCGTCAGGGTGACACGGCGTCGGGGTGTGGAGGCGGATCTGTTCGTGCTTAATGTCATAAAGCCGGAAGCACAACTCGGTTCTTCTCAGACGATTTCTTAAAATCCTGCAGAAGTACATTTTGTCATTTCTGCACAGTTGGCTTTGACATGTAGAAGTTGTAGCAGATGAAACCGGAGGAACGTTTTGTTTCTTTTTCGCCAGTAATGTCTCCTTTTAATGGCATTTGAAATGTGTGCTTTGATCTGAAAATGGAAAGTGTTCCACAGCCGTGTAGTTAGTTTATTAATGGTGAAAGAAAGCTAAATGAAGAAAACTAAAGAATAAATATTATGTTCTTCATTCTTTTTTCATTTTGTGGCCTGTTCTCTCTACAGCAATTCAGTGACATTTTCCCAGTGACAAACACGAAGCTTGTGAGTCCCTTGAGTTCATCAAGCTTGTTTAATTAGGGCCAAACATTATTAGCTGTGTGATGCCACTGGACCTACAAATAAATACAGACGATCTAATTAGCAGAACAAAAACATTTCGCTTGTTTTGGGGAAATGAACACATCTGCTGACTTAGTTAAGTTGTATCAGAGGATTTGTGCAAATGCTCCACTGTTTTTGTTAGTTTTGCTCTTTTTATGACTAAAAAAAGAGAAAGAGAAAGAGAAAGAAAGTCATTCTTTTGTCAAAGTCTATCATATTTGCTTGATAAAATCGATGAAAATCAATGTGTGTTTCTAAATGAAGTGCAAAAATATCATCAAAGCAAAATCGTTTTTTACAGTACAGTTATAAGACTGTACTATACAGTACAAAAATAAAATTCAAAGGGAATTTGAGACTCAATTATCGTTCTTACCGTGCTACATCAATACCGACTCCAATGTCAACATTTTATATCGATCCGCTCACCTCTAGGTAGCGCACCAGTTCCTTAAACAACTAGAGAAAATAATGCACGTTTTCACTATCTGCGTTTCCTTTACAAATGTGCAAAAAACTTTGTCAATATTTTGCCCATGTAAAAAAAACTGAATAAGAAAAGCAGCTAAGATCACATATGAATAAGTTTGTTCACCCAATAGAAACATCATCCTCCAACCACTTCCTGTCATCGTCTTCAGGAGTTGCGCCAGCAGCAACATCCTGTTGTGGTTCATGTGACTGGTGTGATATGAAAAAAACTGTTTTGTGAAATAGAATAAAATTTGATTCGACCTAATCCTGATGAGACCATCATAAAACAAATAGAGTCACTCCTTTAAACATTCACTTTGCTAATCCAAATCTCCAAAACCTCACAGACTCAATGCTGTGTTTGGTTTTCCTTCGCAGCATAAAATCGTTCTGGTGATTTAATTGCTTCTCATCTCTTATAAATATTAATTGAAATAGTGTCACAACTCTTTCCTTTACTTGAGTCTTTTGAGCAAACTGACCTCTCAGCTGAAAAGTAGCAGTCCACAGGGAGTAAATGTTTTGACTTTCAGCGCAACTTGGTAACTTGGCTCAGTTCTTATGACCCCCTTTAAGGTTCTCTTCCTCAGACAATATTTTATATATAGTTTCCTGTTGCAGGCAGATTTTTTTTGCCCTTTTCATACAGTGTATTTATTTCCGCTGCTGACCATGCCAGGGCCACTGTGAAGCTGAGTATCTGGCCCAAGGACACTTTGATGCTGAAGAGGCCGGAAATCGAAAGGGCCGACCTTCTGATTGATGGATAGCAACTGAATTCATACGGAGTCCTTTGATCTAATGCTGAACAATTCAAGGCAATCACAGGATGGAGAGAGTGACCAAGCTACAAAAAACAACCTTCCCTTTTTTACTCCCTAATCAAAGACAGAAAAACTCCTTCAAATCTGCATACGCAGTGTCGGGTGCACTTTCTGTTTTTTCTGGGTTTACTTTACTCAAACTAAAGATTGTTTTTCTTGAAACTGAATTTCTGTTGAGGTTTTTCACAAATCTTTAGTGAGCAAGTTTTCCATACCAGCTTCTTTTAGCTCCAAATTTTGCCTTTTTGTTAATACAATAGAGTGATGGTGACAAGATGGCTGCACAAAGAAACTCTGGTCAGTCATTTCTTTATCTTTATTCTCGCAATGTGTGTTTTTGTTGGTGTGTGCGTGTACTTTGACATGTTAGTGAAGGAAAAATCTGAGCAAAATGAGCTGGCGTGAATCCATTAGTCCTTGATACATTATTACATCAATCTGTGTAATATCTTTTACACAGATTGATGTAAATATGGTAAATATGGTACGTTTACATAAATGTAAACATGTACTTTTAGAACATCTTCAATAAAAGATATTGTTTTGAAGATAATACTGACTTTACATGTCTCAAATGATTCTCTGCCTTTGTTTTAAGGTAATGGATGATTAAAAATCAGCCATCTGCTGAGCTGGAACTCTGTTTAACTTCCTGATTCCATGTTCACTCGCTTCGACCCTTTCCTTTCCCAGCCTGAACCCGTACAGCTACGACGAGAGCTGCGTGTCGAGCAGCGTGGACCACCTGCCTCTGGCGGCGCTCCCGCTCCTCGCCATCGTGTCCCCGCGCTACCAGGACGCCGTGGCGACCGTCATCGACCGAGCCAACCAGGTCTACCGCAGCTTTCTGCAGTCTGAGGACGGCCAGGGATTCACCGGCCAGGTCTGTTGTTTCCTCTTCTGCTTTTAAAGAAGGGAGCGTCACGCTGGTGAATAATGACGCAGAGAAGTAGAAATTGTTTATTACAGGACTGCGTCGTCTACGGCTTGTTCAGAGGCATCACTTTTTACCTCCTGCTCCTCATAACCAATTTAATTGTCAAGTGAGGCAATGATTTCTGAGGTTTGAGCTGTGAGACGTGAATCATTTTTGTCCTGCATAAATCATAAAAAGCAGAGTAATTTTGTTAAGTAAGCTACTCTCCAGCATTTCACTACTGTTTATCTACGGCTTTGGCTTTTATTTGAAATGACATAATACTCATAACTTGTTAGCACATAAATTAAGAGCTGGATGCTCTCTAGATGAATCATAAAAAGCCCCAACAAGTCTCGTTTGATGACGATAATTATGCTGATATTTATTTGTTTTGTTGCTGAAAGAGTATGCTAGATTAACCAATCTTGGCTTCCTCTGATTTTCTTTTGGTCTGAGTCTGAAATAAATAAATTCCATATCTTGTCCTTTTCCTCCTGTTGCTAATGTATTTCATTTCTGCCGTGTAGTTGAGCAGTAATTGTGTCTCCTGTGGCGATGACGTTTCCCGCTCTGTTTATTTGTTCACTTAATCAACAAAGCAAACATGGGTTAAAAAAAGGAGATGTCATGCATTAGTGCTGCGTTAAAAGAACGAGAAGAAAAGAGGACATCTGGACCGGAGCATCGTTCGCTGGCGTTTTAACATCGTCACAGTTTTATTCGCTGAGGATTATAAACTTAAACAACTTGAATGCAGTGCAGCTTCACTCACGAGAAATATATGCCATTTATATATTAAAAGAAGATTAGAGGACGTTCCTTCGACAACAGATAATTCTATTGATTTCAATTCATCTAAGTTGATTACTTGATTTTCATCTTAAATATTAAACATATATATTTTGGAACAGTTTTAGTCTAATTGCTGCTCTGTGGGTGTTGGTCTTTCAGCAAAATGGGCTTTTTTGACTTTGCATGCTCTGGCTAACAATTAATCAATTACAAAATTAATTCATGGATATTTCACTCATCGATTAAACACGATTAATTGTTTCAACCCTAACATAATCTATGTTTTTGTGACCCTCCACGCACTTGTCCTTCTCCTTGTCAGCTGTCTTCCTGCTGAGACCATCACCGACTGAAAAGAGGAGCTTGATCTTGTGCCTTGTGTGTGTGTATGTATGTGTGTGTGTTCTGTGAGCAGGTTTGCCTGATGGGCGACTGCGTGGGCGGAGTGCTGTGCTTTGACGCTCTGTGCTTCAGCAACCACCCGAGGCCCGGCAGCCCCAACAGCAGCAGCAGGAACAACAGCACAGAGAGCCTGAAGGTAGGGCCTCAGCGCTGCAGCGATGACACACCCATCATGCATCGCCATCTCTGTGTGTGTGTGTGTATGTGAGTGTGTGTGAGGGGAACTAGAAGAGCTGATAAAAGAAAAATTTCCCTGGCACAGCATGCTGACAGTATCATGATCAAGATTACACGCTTTTGTTGTTTCTCGTTTTCCTTAGTCGACTAAAAGTGCTGCAAGAGAGAACATGCGCGGCCGTGGAAACATCCTTGGCTCAACTTTGTTGCTTTCCAGAAAAACAAAAGCAAATCTATGTCTTCCTTCTTTAGTTACATCAAGGTCTTTCACAATAACAAGTTTTGCTGAACGATATATTTTCGCAGAAGTGATTGTGATCAACAATGATATTATTCTTTTGAGACCATTTTCAGGCAACGTAGTGATAATGATATAATAATGCAAGAGCAGATTCTGAAAGATTAAGAAACTTTAAATTCTATTTAACACTTAGCACTGGAACCTTATAAATATCCAAAAATAAACAAAACAGCACAAACAACAAAAATAAATTACAAAAATGAATTATGAATCTCTGTCATCAAAATTGTCCTTCAGGAAAAGGGCAAGTAAAGACCAAAACACCAGACTGAAGACTTTATCATCCAGTTTTTGGTAGAAAAGAGAGAAAAGTAAAAAAAAAAAAAAAGATAAATCATGTTGATTTAAATGGTTAAGCTCTTTTTAATGTATCAGGTGTATCAGGTTCATCGCTATTCTTTGGTGGTTTTAATACTGGCACCTAACAAAAAGGGAATAAAAGACGAAATGAAATCTGCATGTGTTGCTCACAATTTGTTTTCTGTTTCTGGTTTTTATTGGGATTTTTTCCACTTCCTGAACACCGTCTGCAGCCCCTGAGTGTGTCTGTGTGTAAAATATTCATCAAAACATTAGTGTTGAACTGCCTGTCTCAAGCTGCTTGTGCTTCATGTTTTCCCTCCCGGTAATGTGTTGCCTGCTCACCGCTGAAATATTCACTCGTGCTCAGACATTCTGTCTCCATCCAGTTCACCTGGGAAAGCGCGTCGGTTCCCATCAGGTCGTGCCGGTCTCCGGTCCCGTCCGGAAGCTCTCATGTTGACTTTCTCCTCCTTCACCTCAGGACAACTCGAACCGGCTGCGGGAGTCGAGTCCTGGCCTGAGCTCCAGCAAGAGGCTGAGCAAGAGCAACATCGACATCTCTGCTCCCAACGAAGGCCAGGGCGGCCCGTCGCTCAGCCGCAAGCAGAGCGACTCCTACGACGGAGACACCTCTTCCACAGGCCAGCACAACTTTTTTTCCAGGTGGAAAACATGACCCATATTTTAAGATTTGTCCAGGATATAATTTTGTGTTTTTTTTGTCTCATTTGTCTGTTTTGGGTAATCAGATTCTAACATCAGATTGAGAAAACCAGAGTAAATACAAAACTCTGTTTTCCGAGCATGGCCACTCATTGAAAATGTTTAAAAAAGTAATTAAGCCTTTATTAAGTCATTATGGGTATGTTAAAAGGGCAGTATTATATAAATTTGACTTTTTTGAGCTTTACATTATTCTATAAAGTCATTCCCTCATCAAATATATCTGGAGTTATGCCTTGATTTTTTTCTTGAATGTTTGAGAAATTTCTTAATAATAATCTCCCAAGACTTCACCACTCAACCCTCCAGACTAGCCAGCAACAATTAGCAAACAACTGGTAGGAGTGCTCCAGGCAGGCAGCTTTGTTTCCAGAGACATCGTAATTTATTTTATTTATGGTTTCTGTTGTTTATTTGTATTGAATTGTTTTTAGGTGTCGTGTCTTAGTTTGGATATTTAAAATGTCCTCCAGTCCCAGTGTGAAGTGTTTCTTACAAAATTAAAGTTTATTAGCGTTTGAGAGGCCAAGCTTGAATTATGACGCCTTTATCAAAATATTACATGAAAACTGCCTCAACACAACAATATTATTATTTATCGCAATAAACTTTATCATCAGCAAAGTGTATTGTGTTCACAGACCTGCTGCTGTACTTGCAGCTCGTGTTTCTCCATTTCTCTGCCCGTTTCAAGCAGTAACTGTGAACTACTAGTTCATTTGGCCAAGCTCGGATGAGCCTGGAAGAGGTCCAGCTGCCATGTTCACTCAGTCCAAAGAAATGGTTTCAATTCCAGGTTACACGCTCCTCCAGTGCTTACAGCCTCCGGAGATGAAGTACTCTTCAGTCTTCAGTCTCATAAATTAGCAGTGATGCCGCGAGGTTTACGACGGCGGCGCTGCAACCTTTTGAACATCCTGTTAACTGGAGCAAAGCTGCATGGAGAATTCCCTCTGCTTCTTCTCCATTTCCCCAGAGATCCCAGTAGATATTCTCCTTCACCAGGATGGCTAATTAAATCACATCTCCTGGCATTAATCCTCCAATCCATGATTGTTTCTTTGAGCATCAGACTCTGCTTTGTTTATGATCCTGATTATGTTGAGTCTTACTTGAATTGTTTAAATTCAGCCACAGCAAATGGTTTTTGCGCATGTAGCATATTTGAAAAGACAATCTAAATTGTTATTCAATATAAATGGCTTTTAACCAAGATAATAGGCCAGTTTCCTTTCAGAAGAATAGGTACGACTCACGAAAGAGCAGTTAGGCTAGAGTTTTGCAGCTGCGAGTGTTTTGTATTTGCAATGTGAATATCATATATACATATTTACAACCACAACATTGGGATATGCAAATGGCCATCAAGGGAAAAAAAAACAAAACAATGAAATAAAAAGGAAAACAGAGGAGAAAAGAAGAAACACAACAAAGGGGAAAAAAAACAAATTAATCAATCGTTCCCAAAGTTCATTTTACAACCCCTTAGTCCATCCACCCCGAATGGGGATTAATCAGGCTTGCAAACAAGGGGAGTATCCAGGGCGTGGTTCACATCCTGGGTAATTGAAAGTCCAATCAAAGAAGGAACAGAGTTCTTTGTAGGATTCTCCTACCAGCTGGGTAGGAGAAGTAAGCAGTCTTCTGTCACCAACAGGTGAAATCTTTCTTTGGCTCTAGGCCTGGTCTCATAGCTCACCATCCACCTGGCCTGAATAACAAAACAGGACCACTTCCTCAATATATATTGATACGATCTAACATTTAGTGTATACACAATTCAATAAATAACATTTTGTGTTATAAATAATTCTATCATTTGATCAATTGCAATTTCATTAAATCTAAAATTCAATATAAATTACATTCATGAAACAGTCAATAAATATACACCATATTATCAATTAACATGAAATGTAAAATACTAATATAAACCAGTGTTCAATAAATACTTCAATTACCCGTTTTGGTTATCAAAAGGAGTTTACAATCAGTTTTTCTTTAGTGGCTACACAACAGCAGTGATTATAAGCCAACGCTAAGTATTCACAAAAACACTCACCAGTTCCGCAGTTTTGTGTCATACTACCGGATCTTTTTCATCTCACTTTCCGGCTCACAATAATGGGCTCCTGCCAGCTCTGCTCCTTCCAACGCGTTCTACCCTTCACGCCCTTTCGCTTGAGCTAATATACCTAGCCGGTAAACTGGAAAGGTACATGTGACCCCAGTACTCAACCGCGATTGGCTAAACGATAATCTCGCGAGAATCAATCATAATACTATTAAAACATCGCGAGATTTGAGGCTAAAAGGCAAAAGAGTAGAAAATCAGAGGAATTGAAGGTTTAAAATTACACTCGGGTTACATCCTCCCCCCTTAATTCCATGCAACCCCGGTGCATGCTAAATTATCTGAACACTATGACGCACAGGAGCATCTGAAACAGGTTCAGCAACCATTTCACCATAAGCAGTAGCTAGACTGTGTAAAAGATTTTGCACTACAGAAATTAAAGGATTTCCTAAAGCAGCATACTGAAAGCGCTTAATTGGTTTTGGCTCTCGACTAGACCGACGAATTGACTGTTCAGCTTTTAAACCATCACTAGCCTGATGAGCATCTTTTGGTGATTCTGTGGAATGTGATGCTGGCATGGTCGAATTTGGTAATGTCTCTACTGGGCCATGGCTCTCCAAATCTTCAGATGGGCTTAGCTCAGGAACATGTTCAAGTTCAGGTGAATCTCCTGGGTCCATCTGATCTTGTGAAGGAACTTTTTCCAGGGCTGGAAGTGGATCCATAGCATCAAGCAGTAGAGACGACTTATCCTCATCAGATGAAGGATTCTCTTTTTCCATCTCAGGAACTGAGACTCTATTTATGGGCTGGGTAGGGCATGTCCCCTCAACACTGACCTTCACAGTTGGTAAAACTGAAAATCGAGATGCCCTCCAGTCCTCATCCTCCTCATCTGGGCTTTCCTCCAATTCTTCCACTGGTTCTTGTAGACTGCGGGTCTGCGGCCTATGAGCCGGTGTGGAAACTGGTGGGTCAACTTCAGTCTGAGGAAGAAATCCACAAGGGAGAAGAAGGTCGCGGTGCAGAGTCCGGGTCCCTCCAGAGGGATCTGCTTCTGGTCTTACAATATACACAGGAAGCTCACCCACACGACCAATCACCCATAGATGTTTGTCTCCCACTTATCCTCCAGCTTATGCTTGCCTCTGAACCTCACATTTCGGACTAATACTCTATCACCTTTTTCAAGACTTGCTGGTTTTACTCTCTGATCAAAACGAATCTTGTTTCTTCTTGCCATCTTTTCTGCATTTTTAGAAGCTAGCTGAAAACTTTCCTTCAGCCGAGAACGCAGGTTCTGCACATATTGAGAATGTGATTGAGATGATAACTCTTTGACAGGCAAGTTGAAAGCCATGTCAACAGGAAGTCTTGGACAGCGACCAAACATCAACTCATATGGAGTAAAACCTGTAACCTCATTTCGGGTGCAATTATAAGCATGAACAAGTGGCTTGACATACTCTTTCCATCTATTTTCTGCTCTGGCTCCAAAGTACCCAGCATACTGAGCAAAGTTCTATTGAACCTTTCAACAGGATTCCCACGGGGATGGTATGGCGTGGTGTGTGACTTTTTAATGCCAGCGATGTTGCAGAGCTCTTTAATGAGGTGAGACTCGAAATCAGGCCCTTGATCCGTGTGCAGGCGTTCAGGAAACCCATAATGCACAACAAAATTCTCCCACAGACATTTTGCAACGGTCTTCGCTTTTTGATTGGCTGTTGGAAAAGCCATAGCATACTTAGTAAAATGATCTGTGAGGACAAGAATGTTTTTAGTGTTGCTTTTATCAGGTTCAATTGATAGATAATCCATGCACAGGAGCTCAAGTGGCCGGCTTGTCTGGATATTCACCAATGGTGCAGCTCGTTCTGGCAAAGCTTTCCGACGAATGCAGCGATTGCAAGTTTTAATCTTGTTTTCTACATCTACAGACATGCGTGGCCAGAAAAACCTAGCTCTTACAAGGTCAAGTGTTCTTTCAATCCCCATGTGCCCCATATCATCATGAAGGCTTGAAAGAACAACAGAACGGCATTCCTCTGGCAACACAAGCTGAAATGATAGGACTTCACCATCCTGCCTCCTCCTATATAAAATGTCATCTTTTAGTTCAAGACGTTTCCATTCTCTCATCACCAGAGGAAGGTCAGGAAGCTCAGCCCTGACAGTTGGAGGGATTTTCTCTCCTGTTTCAAGCTGATGAATAACTTCTTTCAAAACAGGATCAGCTCTCTGTTTCTCCCTGATGTCATGAAGGGACAGTGATGGAAGCACTGGCAATCCTTGGGTCTCATCCATGTATAAGTCAGGGAGAACTGTAGGGGTCATACTCACAGTTTCCACTAGAGTAATGTTTCTCTCCAAAGGACCATCCGGACTTTGGCCTCTCAGTAGACAGCTGTGACAAATGGCTCTGATCACATCTGAGGTGAGTTCTGTAGCATCCTCCATTTCATTCATATGGGTTGTGATGAATTGCTGCACCATGGCCCATTCTCTTTGTGGGTCAGGTGTTTGGGGATGTGGTCTCCTGGAGAGGGCATCAGCATCTCTGTTTTGGCTGCCAGCACGGTACTGCAATTTAAAATCATATGTAGACAGTGCAGCAAGCCATCGATGACTAGCAGCATCAAGTTTAGCAGAGGTCAAGACATATGTTAATGGATTGTTATCAGTAACAACAGTGAAACTGGAGCCATAAAGATAATCATGGAATTTTTCAGTTACACTCCATTTTAAAGCTAAAAATTCCAATTTATGGGCTGGATATCTAGCTTCACTGGCAGACAACCCTCGGCTAGCATATGCTATAACTCGTAGCTTTCCCTCTTGTTCTTGATAAAGAGCAGCT